TTTCTTTTGTATGACCTGCAATTCAGAATTTATACAGTAACCTCAGCCCTGAGATGTTTTCTCCCAAGTGAGTAGAATGGGAAACAATCAAATTTACAGACTAGCTCACTTTGGGTACCCGGTGGCTGGGTTCACTTCTGAAAGAGCTCTGTAAAAGGATGGATCGATGTCCTTTTAAATGGCAATGTTCAATCTTCTGCAAGCTTGATGGGGCCCTGGTTGGTGCATAAATCTCTCTAGATGCAAGGGTAGGAGTTCCCAAAAGAAGGGGAACATAAAGAACAGTGCTTCCTTAAGTGATGCTGAATAAGGATGGTGTCCCTTTAACACTCATGGAGCAAAACCATAGCATTAGGCTGAGATTGAGATAAAGGTGATGGGGGGGGGGGGGGGGAGAACACACTTCTGTAGTAGAACATGAAGGTTCCCTGGTGAGTGGTGCAAACTGAGTCTGAGGCACCAAGGCCGCTTGACCCACAGGGTGCAGATATTGCAGTGGGCTCTTGTGATTTAGTATGCTGAGAGTGTGGAATGATCAGTAGGCCGCAAGGCAAGATGAGACAAATAATCTAGGCTGTAAAACTTGTAACTTGTAGAATGAGCAATACTAAGCTGAGGTAAAAGAGTAACTGAGTTTAGCAATGTCTTTTGTAACTTAGGGTTATGAAGCTCTCTCACCCTATCCTTGGCTATGGTCAAGTAGCGGATAGTCTCTTTGCAGATGGGGGCCCCCTGTGTTCTCCAGATTCCTCCGACACCGAGGTTGCCAGTCTAGCTTGCCAGCTGTCAGCGGCCTCCAGCTCTTCCTTCCTCCTTCACTCTCTCTACGATTCTGGCCCAACCTGGACCTTCTGCACAACTTTCCTCTCCAGGTTTCACTGTCCACCTCCTGGTATTTATCTGCCCCTGCCAATCAGCCAGCTCCTCAGGGAAATGTAGTTTGTCATCTCCACAATAGACAGTCCTGCCAACAGCCTACAAGTCCTACAAAGCTTTTCTTTGGCAGAGTCTGTCTAACTGGGCTGCAGAACACTGCCATTTTGTTTCCATTTAGCATCCTGCTTCCAATATTTTCTGCAGTGTGTTACATTAGTATAAGGACTACTGCTATTTCTATTCTATTTGATTAATATTGTCTGTTTAGTAACATATTTTTGATTAACACATGAAAATGTCTCTTTAATTATGTTTGGCTGAACATATTTTTGCATACTGGGTTTGACACTATAAGAGTTAGCACTCACTGTCTACTTTTTCTCAGTAATTTAGCGATAGGTTTTGTTTTTTTACTGTGCAAAAGGAATTACTGCAATATTTTTTACCTAAGTTTCATAACTACTGTTTATATTGTGTGCCAGAATTTGCAACAAGATTTCGTATAGCACCAGGTACAAGGACTTTCATGCTGAAATCCATTTTCCAGAACAGAGCAAGAGTGGTGCCAGGTATATAAACTATTATACTTCCAGTTATGTTTATAGTTTGTTATGTTTGCACTTTACTACTGTAACAAACATTAGCCTTAGCCACCAATATTAACAAAGCAAGAAAAACCCCAAGAGCTGCAAGGCAGCAGAAGGTAGACAGCCAAAAAGAATATGGAACCCAAACATACAGTTCCTCTGCAGCCCCAGTTTTTAGAAAACATTAGTTGGTTTTAAATTAATGTTTCTGGCCATTCTGGTGCCCCGTCACTGCTCCCACACATGCTCACATGCAACTGGGAGGGCAGATGCCATTTTGGAAAAAGGAAACTGGCTGCCTTTGCCCACAAACCACAGGAGACAGAGAGAAATAAAACAACAGAGCACTGGAAGTGAACAAACACCTTCTATCAGACAGACACACCAAGGACCATGCTGCAATATGTACACAAGTTTATTTAAAGACATTTCTTGGAAAAAAAAAATGCCCCACAGAGACTTCCCTCATAAAGCTCAGTTAAAGACTGTACAGAGAGAACATAGTGAGAACAGAAAAAGACTGATGTGCGGTCCCATGGCCTCTAAACTTATAGATAGCTTGTCCTTTGGGGTTAAGTGGGTGAAGTTTCACACCATCGAATGCTGCCATGATGTGCCAGGAAAATGGCTTAACTTTAGCGCAAATGACAAAAGTCCACTTGTCTCCTGCACAATAACTTAGCATGATACTCAAGGCTTTTACCTGCAGTAGAGAGATAACACCCAGAACGTCTCAGCATATTTTGGAGGCTCCCAGCAGAGCTCAGCAGTTAAGCAGTTGTTCAGATACTTGTTCACTCTCCACTCTCACTACTCCACACACCTGCTCTCTGGAGCTTCCAGTCTTTAATGGCCTCTCCTTGCAGGTAACTTAACTCCCTGTTACCCCTTAAATGGACCACAACCCAAATATGGGTTGATAAGCACATCATCCTTGGTGTCCTGTACATTACATATACTTAAGATTTTAATTCTTTTTTTATCTGGAAGCTAGAATCACTGTAGTGATCTCCTCTAATGTCTGGAGCCTGTGTCAAGTGGCTGCCCTACTGCATTGAAAACAAACTTGGTTGCCTACTCAGCACAGGCATCGTTCAGAAAACGCTTTGCAATTTTCAAATGAATGCAAAATATTTTCTGATTGGATGAGGTGGAGAGCATGACATCACCTCTCTGCCTTTTCCAATTAGAGAACTCTTTGGATTCATTCAGAAAAGTGATCTCTGAATGGCACCATTGCCAAGTGAGTGACTTCCTGTGCTCACAATGCAGCAAGACAGCTGCTCAGTATAGGACCTCTAAGCTAATGTAGAACACTACAGAGCAGTGTCTACTACAGTGATTTCTAGCTTCCAGAGCGATACCACAGGTATGGTACTGTATATGCATAGTTACATTAGTCCAAGCTGAACCAATGTAATTATGTAAAAATATCCATACCTGTAATTCTTTAAAACATAAGAATGTATTTTAGAATCCACACATACAGAAATCCAGAAAAATTGAAGTTTGATATCCGTGCACTAGGGTCCACACTGATGTACTACAGTATACACAGCATATACTTTACACACACATATATTGTCACGGTGCAAGGCCCTGTGTAAATGGTTGTAAAAAATACACAGAACTCCAGAGTTTTTATATGGAGCGGAAAAAAAATGTTTTTACAGCTATCTCTGGATGTTGGTATATCCTGCATTGGCTCTGTAATTTGGAGATTTCAGGGCTATGGGAGGAAAGAATCTCCAGCCCAGTGTCCAGGTCTTTTTGATGACTGTCAGGGTGTGTGTCCAGGTGAATATATCCCTTACAGTGAAGGTTTGGGTATAGCTCAGAGCTCCAGCCAGAAGGAAGGTGTGCTCCCATTTGAAGACAGGTGTGTGTTCCTGTCTCAAGACCGAGGTACTCTAATGAAATGACAGTACTGCATGCTGAAGAGATTTCATATCCATCATGCTGAGAGAGTTTGGTCTCCTGATAGAGTCTTGGAGACCAAGATAGACTGGAAGACCTGAGGCAACTAGAAACTGAAATAGAGTTCAGGGGACTGAGGGAATCTGGAGGTGTGACAGAGCCCAGAGTGTCAGGAGAACCTTTATTTAGAGGCTGGGAGTGGGCCAATGCACCTGGATGCTGTGACTACTAGCAGAGAGAGCCAGGAGTGCACCTGAAACGGCTGAGGGACCAGTGACAAGACAGTGGTGCTGCTGAAAAGAGAACTGGGGGCTTGATATTTACTGTTACCTGTTTTGCTGTGTGAAACTAAATTTTTTTTTTCATTTACATACACTTCTATCCTTATTATTTTATTGTCAAATTATAATAAAGAATGTATTTATGTGGAACCTTTTCTTTCTTATTTTCTTTTTTTTTTTATATTTTTATCTTTTCATTTTTCACTACATCTACAATTATTTTTCTTTAGTATAATTTTTTATATTTCTTTTTAGAATTATACTTTTTCCCTTTTGTATTAACTTTTTTTATCTTAGTATAAATTCTTTTCCTTTTTTCTTCCTCATTTTTCTCTCTCTTTTTCAATCCGCAATACGTTTTCTTAATTTTTTCACAAGCACACATACACACCTGCTTCGTTTTCATGGCCAATGATGCAAATAAATTCTCTGGCTCCCAACGACCTCTCTGCCTTAGTGATCAAGCCCTGGTGGGCAGGGAGAAACACATCAGAGGATGTGGCCGGAGTGGCGGCTGAGGCCATCCCATACATCTGACTCCTGGGGTCAGTTGAGGGGAGTCCATTTCCCTATTGAATTTGCTGATGCTGGAATCGCTTCTTGACACCTGCTCCTTCCTTTCATCTGCTGGTGGGGTGATTCTTTCTTCCTATTCCCAGCTTGGAGTGGTATTTTTGTTTTAAGTGCTTTGAAGTGTCACTCATTCTAAATGGTAACCCAGTGCATGACGGCAATGAACCTGCAGCACATGGCAGTACACTGCAATGCACTATTATGCTGACAGCTGCGAGGTGCAAATGGGGTACACAAAAAACCATTGCTTTCTGTGTGCTCTTTCTGAGAGCTATGTTTTTCTTATGCAGAAAAATGCAGCTCTCTTTACTAGTGTGAACCGGCCCTTACAAAAGAAATAACTCACTTTGAAATATAAATGTTCATTATGAGCTTACTAAATCAGATGAAGTTATATTTACTTCAACCAATTATGTGCTAGCAAAAATCATTTTAATGTTTTTAATTTTCCATATAAATGATTGGGTAGTCAGTGCATATCTCATATTTTCATACTCACTACCATTTGCTTTGCAAAGTGAGCATTTTTTTTAGTAAGTGACAAGCCTATAAGCTATATTTTTCAACTGAATAAATACATTTCGCACTGGATAACCTGAAATTATTTATCCTTCAAATCACACCTGCAGTATTCACACACAGTTGTTTACTTCTAGTGTGATTGGCTGACAGGTAATTACATGTGCTCTCTGAGTTATATATGTGACCAATTTTACTGCCTTTGGATTTTTTCTTCATGATAATGGCACATATTAGGGTTAAGATCATGTTGCTGTTTTTCACTTTGCTGCTTGCTGTCGGAATAGCACAGTCTGGACTCATTATTAATCTGGTAAGGTACAATATTGAAAAGAAAATGTATAGGTGTTTTAATGAGATTCTTCAATAGGAAATATTACTTCCATCCATACAATGCAAATTTTAAATATATACTGTATATGAAGAAATTATTTTTGTGCTTGGTGCGTATTCGGATGCAGCACACTGAATGTTTGAATACCAAAAAACATACCAAAGTTCATACCAACAGATTTTAAATGTACCTTTACCTATTTTTCTTGCAGAGTTAGTGATTGGCTGATGGGTCTGCTATACATATTGCATCTGCTATACATTTCTGTGGCGTTTTATAGCAAGGTTTATTTATTTAAGTATTTATCTAGTCGATGGGGTTAATTTACCAAAGGCACATAGGCTGTTCACTTTGGGAACTATCTGCACAACTTCGTGAGTGTGGCAAAAGAACACCCAATCACATTTAAGAAAAAAAAAAAAAATTTTGCTTGCACATAATTGGATGATGGACATGGATCTTTATCTTATTCATTGGGTAAATTTCCCTTGCTAAGTGAAACTTCCCTCACAAAGAGAACAGTCTTTTCAAATTAACCCCAGAGTATCAATGCATGGCTGTCTGCTAAGATCTTACCTTGAATCCAATTCAATGGAAAATTACTAGTTGCTAATTGGAAAACACATAGCCCTCTGCTCTCCTTTCATTGTTGAAGAAGCCCACTGAAGAGTTAGTCCATTGAAACTTTTCATTTCAGTCATAGCTGGAGTTTGTTAGGTTGAAAAATTTGCTGACATCTAGTAGCTCTTGGGAAGTCCAGCAGTAAGACTTCTATCACCATGTAAAATCTAACAGGAAGTGTGGAACCACATGGTAATTGCCTTAAAAAGTATGCTTCTTTGGAAGTGCAGAGCTCTCACTGTAGAATCACAGAGAAATATATTAAAAAAAGTAATTTAATTATTTGCCATCCACAAAGAGCTAAATATCTGTTACATTTGAAATGACCCAACATTCCTTATTGTATTTGTTTGCAATTGAGAGAACCTAAAATGTTCTCCAAAAATCTTTTCCAGTTCCAACATGCAGTCCAATTGCCAGTGTGTGTTGCAAGTGCTTTATTTATGTAATAATTCCATAGCAAAAAAAAAAATAGAAAAAAAAAAGATAGAATTTTGTCTATCAAAGTGGCTTCAACATGTTAAATTAATTTTTAGTAATTATTTGTGGTATTTAAACTCTGATCCCCAATTATAAAATTTGTTTGTATCTGTTTGCATTTTCAAAAATTTTGCAGCGGTCATAGGAAAACTAGAAAACCTGAATTATGGTAAGAAGGACAATAGCATATTTGGATATTTTGAATAACCCCCTCTTCCTTTATGAAATCGGGCATCTGATACCCAAACAGGGAAAAAATAGACCCCTTTATCTGGTTTTTATTGTTGTTCCTGTTGCCAAAGACAAAACAGGAAATAAGCTAAAATTTCTACCTTTATCAGCTCTCACTGAAATTAGTGTTCGAATTGAAAACTTTATCCTCTACTGCTGTCAAATTTTGGAATCTTTCTAACTTTGTCTCTGTGGCAATTTTCACCAGGACAAATAATGAGAGTCGGTCTCCCAAATGCATTGTAATTCCAACCCTTCCCACTCTACCCAAAAGTAGAAAAGAAAAATGTTTTGGATGGACTTCTACTTTTAACCAGTTCAGCTTTCAAACCTGTATACCCCTTACAGACTATAGCAAGTTTATATGTAAGCTATGGGCCTATTGATTCACACAATTTTTACATAATAAAATAATACATATATTGTTTCTTTCCAATACAATCAATGCTTTCGCTTGACAATATTGTCTTCAAATCTATTTTAGTTTTGTCTATCTATAGACAAAAGATGTAACTAAAAAAAAAATAGTTTTTTTTTTCTATCTTAACTAGTGTTAGCTTAAAAAATTGTTTGTCAATAAAAAGGGCACATTTTATTCTTTAATGTCCCCTTGTGTATATTGACACAAATATTTTTTTTTACAAAATATAAGACAATTATTTAAATAAAATAAAGCCTTTTCTATTTTTTTTTTGCAATTTTGCATTTTTAAAAATGTGTCACTGAAAAAACTAAAGTGATTGTAAACCTTGATTCTTTTTTTAAAATAATAAACATGTTGTACTTACCTGTTCTGTGCAACCTGTGGTTTTGCACAGAGCAGCCTGAATCCTCCTTGTCTGGGGTCCCAACACTCCAGGCCCCTCCTCTTTGGTAAAGAGGTTTCCGATGGGGGGCAGCTAGTGCAGGCTCGATCCTAAGCACCCTGTTTTCATCTATAGACACAGTGTGGAAGGCAAAAAACCTTGAGCCTTTAGAAGCACTTTAAGGAGCAATTGAATATGAAAAAGGTTAAATATTAATAGTAAAAATTATAATATATATCTACTGATCAACTTTTGTACAACTGACCTGTTGGATTTTCCCTACTCAATCAGAATTGCAGGTTATAGTTTATAATGCTGCTTAGTGTACTTTGACAGTGGGAAAGTCTCCCCACTGTCAGAATACAACAACTCAGTGAGGAGAATTTCTCCATCCACATTGAGTGCATGGTTGGGGAAACCCGCTGGTTGAATGAAAAAATAAACTGATTAAGGGTTACTAAGAGGTTAAATAGGAACACAGTTTGTTTCTTTATTTGCCTTTACTTGCAAGGTTGCTTAAAGCTGAGTTCCAGTTAAAGAAAGAAAAAAATAAAAGTCAGCAGCTACAAAAACTGTAGCTGCTAACTTTTAAAATACAGCCATTTACCTGTCCCTCAGTCTAGCAGTGTCCTCACCACGGCTGGTTTCACTGGCCGTCTTCTCTCCCCAGTACCGGCATCTTCAGCGTGGGCACCCGGCTGTGACAGCTTGCGGCTTCACAGCCCGGTGCCCACTGTGCATGTGCGAGTAGTGCTGCACTTTGTGAATGGTCCCGTAGTCTTTTGGGACCTGTCTCATGTCCCAGGAGACTATGGGAAGGGATGGGGGAGGACAACGTTCGCTTCCGATCGCTTTAGGCGATTGCAGCAGACATGGGAGTGGGTTTCTGTCAACTTTGGGTACTCACTTGCCCCCCCCCCCAGCTCCCCAAAGGTGCCAATCCTTAATGGGGAGCGGGGACAAAGGCTTAAAGCTCTGCTTTAAACTGACATATGCAAATCAAATGTCACCCCTTTGATCTGCTGTTGCTATGAATGAACCAAAGAAGTTACAATGAAGCAATAATAACATGGCTTCATCATAACTCTTCTTGACACTGTAGATGCTGTTATGTGAGTGTCAGTTTACATAGGAGAAGAAAGATCTTCTCCTGTATGAATTTATTAAGTCCCAACTGTTAAAATGAAAGCCAGAAATTCGAAGGGCTGTGGGGGAGGAAAAGGAGCTATGCATACTACACATACCCAAAAATACTAAGGTAACTTTTGTGGGTGTATGTAGTATACCCAATATCCATAAGCCATTCATACTACTTTCTTAAGTCTGATAAATAGGAGACGAAATAATGCATATAGGAAAAGTATCTATGCCAAATATGTATTGTGGGTGGCAATGTACTATTGTACAAGTCTAGTTTTCCTTCTTATAATAATTGAGCAGTAATATACAAGTTTTACACTAGTTTTCTTGTTCAAGCACAGATTTGCACCCCTACAGTATATGGTTTCCACGTGCATGCACATCTGTGAGATTCGTGAATAGTGTACATTATCACACCACTGACTTCACCCCAGAGAACACTCTTGTATTACTAAATGGTTCCTTCAGTTTTGCAGGTTCTTTTGTAAATTAATCTCTGTGAAATCTTATCATTTTTTTTTAGGACAATGGAGAGCTTTGCTTGCAAAGCCTTCAGTGTAAGAGTAAATGCTGTCATAGGGAGAATGGGTTGACCTTGGCACGGTGTGCTCCACTAGCAGCTGAAACACAGAAGTGTTCCCCATGGGTGAGTATCTGGAATAAGTAGCATGCTCAGTGAAATTCTCTATCGTGGTAATAGATATCCTTTTCTTCAAATGCAGTAAAGCACAATAATAAAATACCAATAATACACCATCCAATAATTTCAAGAGAGGCTCAAAATCGAATGCATCACTTGCATCTGTCATATCCCCACTCCCCTTCACCATGAAAAGTCTTAAAAAGTGTAATTTCTTTCCAAAATCAGTACAGTGTATACTATTACATTTATTCTAGTTTGTTCATTTTCATTGTAATATTCTAGGCCAGGTTAGGGTCAGGAAAAGGTGATTTTAGCAAAGGAGTGTTACTTAGAGCACCAGACGTTGTGTGCATACAGGCAACAGTGATGAAAATCAGGCACTGAGCACACCAAAAGAGTATGTTTTAAACCAGGTCTTTTATGCCTCACTATGTATACTCTATTAAACAAATACACCGTTAACAGGTGGTCTGGAAAATATCCCAGCATTTAGAACCAGCCACACAGGTAGCCAGTCACATCAATCCAGTCACAACAGAATATATTACCTGTGTGGCCATATATTCGGGGGTATGATCAAGACAATCATAAGAAATTAAAGTGTTACTAAACCCAGGACCCTGCATTCACTATATCTGGTCTCCCACAGTACACACATACATGGAAGTGCAATTATTTTACTAAATATAAACTGCTAAATTCATTTTCTCATCAGCAGTTAGGGCAGTCTTGTGACTTCAGCTGAGCACTGGTTAAAGTTTGTAGGAGGATTTTTCTTTCTCCCCTTAAGAGGATGCAAAACCCCTGACCCTCTGCCTAGACAGCGCTGATTGGCCATGTGACGATCACATGCACTCTCCCATGAGAAAAAAAAACGTGTCTAGCAAAACACACTAAACTGAGCATGTGCAGAAGGGCTACGGTTTCAGTCTGTCTTATCACCATGAACATTTGAAAAAGAGGAGGGGGAAAAGTCAGGATCAAACAGCCTTTTTACACAACACGGAGGAATAACCCCTTAGATTCCACAGTCAGTATAACAAGCATGCTTTACTGCATATACAGACTGATTTTATTGTTGTGGGTTTAGTAACACTTTAAGGTGTTACTTGGATAAATTGAGAAGCATCTTCAACATTGCAAAACAAGCTATAAAATCATCTGAATAAATTAGAAAATTTCCATGAAATGTTTTCTTTATTATATAAATATTGTTTAAAGGGGAAAATGCAACTTTTCACATGGCATCAACAGAAATGTGAACATTAGGCAATGACTAAAGACATACAGTAAAACATTTTCAGTGCTGTTAGAGAAATTGAGCTTCAGCATTCATAACCAACAGTATTTCATATTTATTTCCTTTTTATTTAACCCTTAGGGTCTTTTTATATAAACATTATATATAAACATGCAAAGCACAATGCAGTTAGTCTCAAAGGGATGTTGGTACAAAATATGTAATGTAATACTACATGAAAATAATATGATGTAAAAATACAGAACAGAATCATACACAAATGAAGAATTGGAACCAGGCTACGATTTGTAATGTACAATATTTAATTATTGGTAATTTTAATTTCTTTTTTTTTTTTAGCATCTCTATGGGGTCTACTATCACTGTAATTGTGAAATGGGTCTATCCTGTGATGTGAAACATACTATTGTTGGAGTTATTACCAACTCAGACTTTGGATACTGCAAGGACTCAAATGATTCATGAAAATAAAAACAACCAACATGGTTACAAGCTACAAGTTTTCATCTGTATGCTTTTAAAATGCTATTAGATTCCCATATATTGATGTTTCCCAAACAATTAAAGAATCTACTCCTACTCCGTAGATTACGCTGCAAATTTGCATGCTAAACCGATACGTACAAAAATATATTTTAGAACATGACTCAATCTACCCACTGATCACAGGCAGTAGTCCAAAATCCAGTATCTCCAAAAGATTTAAAAAAAAAATGTAAATGACTGCTTTCTATATAAAATATATGCAAATATCTGCATGTGCATAAAGCCACAATGAGGCAGAACCATACAGTAACTGAAGAATGTAACATATACAGGTGAAACTTGAAAAATTTGAATATCATGCAAAAGTTCATTTATTTCAGCAATGCAACTTAAAAGGTGAAACTAATATATGAGATAGACTCATTACATGCAAAGCAAGATAGTTCAAGCCATGATTTGTCATAAGTGTGATGATTATGGCTTACAGGTCATGAAAACGCCAAATCCACAATCTCAGAAAATTAGAATATTACATGCAATCAATAAAACAAGGATTGTACATAGAACGATATCGGACCTCTGAAAAGTATAAGCATGCATATGTACTCAGTACTTGGTTTGGGCCCCTTTTGTAGCAATTACTGCCTCAATGCAGCGTGGCATGGAAGCTATCAGCCTGTGGCACTGCTGAGGTGTTATGGAAGACCAGGATGCTTCAATAGCGGCCTTCAGCTCTTCTGCATTGTTCGGTCTCATGTCTCTCATCTTTCTCTTGGCAATTCCCCATAGAATCTCTATGGGGTTCAGGTCAGGCGAGTTTGCTGGCCAATCAAGGACAGTAATCCCATGGTCAATGAACCAGGTTTTGGTGCTTTTGGTAGTGTGGGCAGGTGCCAAGTCCTGCTGGAAAATGAAGTCAGCATCCCCATAAAGCTCGTCTGTGGAAGGAAGCATGAAGTGCTCAAAAATCTCCTGGTAGATGGCTGCGTTGACCCTGGACTTAATGAAGCACAGTGGACCAACTCCAGCAGATGGCATGGCTCCCTAAATCAACACAGACTGTGGAAACTTCACACTGGACTTCAAGAATCTTGCAGTGTATGCCTCTCCAATCTTCCTCCATACTCTGGGTCCTTGGTTTTCAAATGAGATGCAAAAGTTGCTCTCATCAGAAAAGAGGACTTTGGACCACTGAGCAACAGACCAGGTCTGTTTTTCTTTAGCCCAGGTAAGATGCTTCTGACTTTGTTGTTCAGGAGCGGCTTGACAAGAGGAATACGAGATTTGAAGCCCATGTCCAGGATCCGTCTGTGTGTGGTGCTCTTGATGCACTGACTCTAGCCTCAGTCCACTCCTTGTGAAATTCCCCAACACTTTTGAATGGCGCTTTCCTGACAATCCTCTTCAGGCTGGTTGTGCACCTTTTTCTTCCACACTTTTCCCTTCCACATAACTTTCTATTAATGTGCTTTGATACAGCACTTTGGGAAACATCCAACTTCTTTTTGCAATTACCTTTTGAGGCTTTCCTCCTTATGGAGGGTGTCAATGATGGTTTTCTGCACAACTGTCAGGTCAGCAGTCTTTCCCATGATTGTGATTCTTACTGAACCAGACTAAGAGACCATATTTAATGGCTCAGGAACCCTTTGCAGGTGTTATGTCTTAATTTGCTGATTAGAGTGGGACACTTTGAGCCTAGAATATTGCACCTTTTCACAATATTCTAATTTTCTGAGATTGTGGATTTGGGGTTTTCATGATCTGTAAGCCATAATCATCACAAATATGACAAATGATGGCTTGAACTATCTTGCTTTGCAATGTAATGAGTCTATCTCATATATTAGTTTCACCTTTTAAGCTGCATTACTGAAATAAATGAACTTTTGCACGATATTCTAATTTTTTGAGTTCACCTGTATATGGACAAAGGATATGTCTTCTATTGATTGAACTGAATGGACTTGTGTCTTTTTTTCAGCCAGACTAACTATGTAAAATGACATGTAGGCATAGTGGATCTGTTCATCTCCTTTTTTTTTTAATAGGAAATGTGCTAATACCCAGTTCACTCACCTATTTGTAATTAATACACAATAGGAATAGTAATGACACAAACAATATGGGAATTTTAAAAAGGAGATGGATGATTTTCTAATAACCAATCATGTTCAAAGTTAAATTTACTAAAGCTAATCGTAATATGGTAATATTTTTACTTGACAATTTGACTTTTAACCTCTATAAGGCCAGTTTATCACAGTTGTCCAGGGCGCTGGTTCTAGATCAACACTGCTTTTAACTTGTAATTCTTACAGTTCTTGTAAACCTAAAAACAAAATTATGGTACTGTGCACAGAAATACACAGCAGCATGTTACTTCTGGCAGGCAGAGAGACCTGTGTTTACACATAGGTCTGTCCCCTGTCAGTGTTACTCCGCAATCGCCGTGTGCCAGCTGGCAATCTCTGTCTGGGACCTGGTGATCAACATCTGTAGCCGCCGTGCAAATCATGCAAATCAGGGCAGCGGGGAAGCAGTTAAACATTACAAGAGAATATAACACAAGTATGAAAAAAGAAATGGAAAGCTCTGTCATTTCAAAGCCATTGTTTTCTAATTTTTAGGGACTCTTTAATGACTGGCATAGTACCACTGGATTGGCGTAAGGCCAATGTGGTGCCAATATTTAAAAAGGGGTCAAAAACTTTACCAAGTAATTTTAGACCTGTTAGTTTAACTTCTATAGTTGGGAAGATTCTGGAGAGTTTAATAAAAGATCACATAGATGAGTTCTTGCTGGAAAAAAATATTTTAAGCAATAGACAGCATGGATTCATGAAAGACAGAAATTGTCAAACAAATCTGATTTCTTTTTATGAGGAGGTGAGCAAAACCTTGACAGATGGGGTGGTCCAGAGGGGTGGCGGTGGGCGTGGTATACTTGGATTTTGCAAAAGAGTTTGACACAGTTCCCCATACATGGCTAATGTGTAAGGTAAAGTTTACAGGCTTGTAAAAAATTCATATGTAAATCGATAGAAAACTGGCTAAAGATCGTATTCAGAGAGTAGTGGTTTAATGATTCATACTCTGAATGGTCTAAGGTTGTCAGTGGTGTAACCACAAGGTACAGTGTGGGACCCTTACTTTTTAATATATTTGTAAACAATATAGGGGCTGGGATTAAAAATACAGTTTCAGTCTTTGCAGATGACACCAAGCTTTGAAGTGGAATAACGTCCTTACAGGATGTCTTCAACTTACAAGCTGATCTCAATGCACTGTTTAATTGAGGCAACAATGTGGCAAATGAGGTTTATTCTGGATAAATGTAAGGTTGATGTACTTGGGGGCTAAGAATATGCATGCATCATACATACTAGGGGGAGTACAACCGGAGGAATCAATGGTGAAGAAGGATCTGGGAGTTTCTGATAGATCACAAGCCTAATAATGGCATGCAATGCCAAGCTGCAGTTTCTAAAGCGAGCAAAATCCTCTCATTTGTATTAAAAGAGGTATAGACTCCAGAGAGAAAGATATATATTACCCCTGTACAAATCATTAGATACAGTTCAATCTTGAGCCATCAATTCACAAAAAGAACATTGGCGAACTGAAGAAAGTAGAGAAGGGCAAACAAACATGATTAAGAGGCATGGAGGGAGCTCAGATATGAGGAAAGATTAAGAGGATAACTGAAATATTTAATTCTCTCATTGAGTTCCTCTAAATAGGAGATGAAGGGGGGATATGATCAACATGTATATAAATACAGGGTAATCAGATATCTTTCCTCTGGGGGAGTTCATATAGTGAACTCGGTGTAGAGTTATTCTCACTGAGGTCATCACATCGCCAAGCAGTTTCTACAAGGGGCACTCTTGTACATCTGGAGGAGAAGAGAATGATATATTCCACAAACATCATTAATACAGTCAAATCATTGAGCTACATCAAATTCACAAAAGAACATAGGCGAACTGAAGAAAGTAGAGAAGGGCCAAACAAACTGATAAGAGGCATGGAGGACTCAGCTATGAGGAAAGATTAGAGGAACTGAATTTATTCTCTCTTGAAAAAGTAAAGAGGAGATGAAGGGGGTGGATATTATCAACATGTAAAATACATCAATGGTTCATATAGTGAACTCGGTGTAGAGTTATTCACCCTGATCATCACAGAGGACAAGGGCACTCTTTACATCTGAAAAGAAATGTAAATCTCCAAAATGATAAGAAAGGGTTCTTTCAAAGTAAAAGCTGTGAAAATGTGGAATAGACTTCCTCAAGAGTTGGTTCTGGCCTGCTCAGTGGATTGCTTTTAAAAAAGGCTTGGATTCTTTTTGCATACACAGAATATTAACTGGTTACTAACATTTATAGGTAGTTAGAGTTGATCCAGGGAATATCCGATTGCCTCTCTGGGGATCAGGAAGAACTTTTGTTTTCCCTACAGGAGCAAATTGGATCATGCTTTGCTGGTTTTTTTTGCCTTCCTCTGGATCTGGTCCAGCCAGACTAACTATGTAACTATGTACCCTTCCTGCATTGAATAATACCTAGTTAACCCTGCCTGTATGGAAATACGGATAAAAGAATACAGCAGCACTGCCTTCAGTAAATGGTTTATAACTATAGTGGTGGAACCCCCTAATGTGTAAAAAGCACCAACCTTGATTTATGTACACAAAATAAACATAAATAAATGATACAAATAAAATAAATATCAATGTCCTCCCAAAAGTTTGCAATCGCACAAGCATAAACAATTCAGTAATGGTGATAAAAAAATAATAATCAGCTGTGAATTAAATTTGAAAAAAAAAACCCCACAAACAATATATTAACATAGTAGTGGGAACCCCTTCCCAGTGATGACTCTTATAATAAGTGGGATTTATCGCTTCAAAGAAGTCCAACTAGTTCAAGTAAATAAAACAAAACAAGTGTGACGTGATAATTAGGAATCTC